AACTAAAAATAGAAAAAAAAAAAAATTAGCCGGGCACGGTGGCACGTGCCTGTAGTCCCGGCTACTCGGGAGGCTGAGGCAGGAGGATTGCTTGAGCCCAAGAGTTTGAGGTTGCTGTGAGCTAGGCTGATGCCATGGCATTCTAGCACAGGCAACAGAGTGAGACTCTGTCTCAAACAAACAAACAAACAAACAAACAAAACGGAGCAATAACATGTTATTTCGTCCTTGAGCTGAAAAGGGCTGAGTGCCAGCCTTTCCTTCTACGTACTGCTTATGGGGCCGAGACAGTGGCAAAAGACCAAAGGGCAAAGTGAGTGAACAGGGAGGCCACAGGCCTTCTAGCGCTTTCGTGTGGCCCTGAAATGCACCATAAGGCCTTTTCGCAGGAACCGGGAGTGTTAGCCATCTGTAGGAGGCCAAGACGCAGCACTTGGATTCCTGGGGACGCTCAACAAAAAGCACTGCCATGCTGTAGAAATGCAAACACGAAGGGTTTTGTCTTTTCAGTTCAGTGTTGGAGGAACTGTTGACTGGAGGCAGCAGCAGAGAGCTTAAAATAAACAGTGCTGATGGGTGTTGAGGAGAATCTTCCTTTTGGCCCTAACTCAGTCCACTGTAGAAACAGGCTCCCACTGCTGCTGCCAGACCTGGTTTGGCCGGACTCCTGCAGAACACAGACTCCAGGGACTGCCCTGGACATCAGCTTAGGAAGGAAGAAAAAACAATAAAGGAGTCAACACCCCTGCCTCTTCAACTCTGGCCAGATGGCTCCCTAGCAATCACTTAAGAAACAATGCCATTTCATGATCATAATTTATTGTTCGAGGATCTTTGGAGGAGATTGTTTTCTCGGCAGAAACTCTCTCTGCGGCTGGGGGAATCATACTCAATAATCAGCACCTCATGCCTGACGCCACGCTAAGTCTAAAAGCACACTGAGAATAAGGCGACTCTCCTGCAGGGAAGCCAGCAATACAAAGAAGGCAATAAATATAAAACGAGTTCAACTACACACTGTTACTCTGCTAATGAAGTTAAAAATAAAGGAATCAGTGACAGAAATCACCCCAGTCTCAATACTATGTCACTTTGAATCTGGATTGCAACCCCACATTAGCTATTTCACTGAGTGACAAGTGAATCCTTTGTCATCTGAGGAATCGATGTGAGAAACTATATCGTCGAAGGTATTTTTGCATCTTTGGCAAACAGCATTCTGTTTTTTTTGTCATGTTACATAATGTTACTCTATTACAATCCACCCTAGGCACTTTGTCAACAATTTATCGCACTTGAAAAAGGGCGAGTATCTTGCCTTGCCTTCCTTCGAACGCTCAAGAAAAGTGGTATCACCAACTCTGGAAGCAGGATAGCATCCTAGATTCACATACGGTTCTAACAAGTACTAAATCACTGAAGTCTACTACTTCCTACGTATGACCTCAAGCACACTGTTAACCTCTCTTTACTCTTAGTTTTCCCCAGTAAATGGGGTAACAAAGAATACTTAGAAGTCGGTGGTAAAGATGAAATTAAGATTATGCGTGTAAACCTTAGAATATCAGTGCTTATAAGCATATACTTAAGTTTAGCTACTAGTAAGTCACTGGTTTTATATTTTCCTCTTAATGATTATAGCTTTCCTTCTGACATTATTTAAATGTCCTATCTTATACAGTTTTATATCCCCCTTTTATAAAAAGAGGAGACAATTTTATAACTCAACAATCATAAAGCCAGGTAATTTACCAAAATGTAACTAATAATTGATGATGATCTTGTCTTTTCTTTATTAAAATGTTTAGGTTTACCCACAATCCTTTAATATGATATTGGGGCATAAATGAACATGGCTGCCAGGAAACTAAGAAGAAACGAGTTTGGAAGGGTGACTTACCACTTCAATGTAGGCTGAAGATTGGTCCTTGCTTGTCTTGTGACATCAAGACCCTGAGCAGAGTCATATTTTCTAGACATGCAACAACTGCTAAATTTTGTCCAGACAGTTGGCAACATATGACTTAAAATTTTGAGACAAAGGTAAGATTAATCTACATGAATATTTCTTATGACAAAGGAAGGCTCAATTGTGTCCCCAAAGAATAGAATTCTGTTCTGTCCAGATCCAACACTTCCCAAACACCAAAAAACCACAGCAAGTACGCCCAAGTGCTTCACAGAAACAAAAACAGTAAACTTCTGGCCTTGTTATCCCAGTTATCACGAATAGGTGGCAGAGGAAGCTATGGCATGATGTCTAATCAATTCAAGTGATGCTGAAAAATTAAAAGATGCTCACCACTCGGATCAAGCTGCACAGCATATTTTCTCTACCTCTGCTTCTATTGTAAGATAAGTACTACTGGCCCCAGAAACTCCATATAAAAGTTTGAGTAAGTTGTATTATCAGATTTGTACAAATGTTGTTCGTCTAGGATTTTTAACCTAATTATAATTCATTAAATAATTAAATTAATCATAGCTAAAACAAATAATTTTGCTGTAATGATACATCAACTCTAAATTCATCCTTCCATTAAACTGCTGACGGGGCACTGGCCTGCCTTCATATCTTCCAGACTACCAGTGCACAGAACAAAGGATATTTCCTACCCTCATGCTTACAGATGGTTTGTGAGAAGCCCAAGTCATGCTGATAATCTCCAGATTATTATCCTTCCAAAATATCCTATATAATTGCAGAATATTGATGTTTGAATGAAAAGAGGCCGTATGGGAATCAGTCGTATATATTTTTATCTGAGAGCTCTATTATGTCAGAACTATCTGGCAATAAACAGGCCGATATAGTTGTATTCTTCATTTTATCCAAGATTTTTTCCTCCATACGAAGATACCATTTCTGGTCATCGAGTAAGAAGAGATGGTTTGTACTCTCCCCTTTGGTATAATTTGTCTCATTCCTAGAGACAGATGTTAATACGAATAATTATAGGTGTGTTGCCTTTCACTTGCTACAGATTTCAGCATATGGGACTTAATTATTTGTTGTGATGGTCTTCTGGAAAATAAATTAGGATTCGAAACACTTAAGGGAATAATTTTTTCCATTTTACCCAAATGTCTTGGTAGATTCTTTGGAGAGAAAACATTTTTAAAAAACAAATTAAGTACTTTTGCCTCTCCAGGAATCGTTATTTTGACAGGGATTTTTGACCTTGGCATATTGACATTTTGGGTCAGACAAAGCTTTGTTGTGGGGGCGTTGGTCCAGTGCAAGGTGGGATTTAAGCGAGATCGCTGGCCTCACCACTAGATGGAACAGCCACCTCATCCCCACCCACTAGCCAGGGTATGACAATTCAAATGTCTCCAGCCTGAGCATGAGCGAGACACGTCTATATAACTTGAGGTGGTTTCACAGATACTGTAGTATATAGCATAACCAAGATTTCTAAGAACAAAAGCAATGTTGTCTGTAATCAAAAACAGTGCCTGAAAGGAGCTGGTAGGTAAAGCTGGGTCAAACCGTAAGACTCTCTACACCAAATATTTAACTAGAAATCCACAGCTGCAACAAGGCACTGGACTAGAGAGAATGTCTGCTATGTGATGAAAACAAAAGTCCATTAGGGATGGAAAGCTGAGCACAGCTGTCCGGAGAGGGATCTGTGAGTTTACTCCAGGTTCTGGTTTTATGTCATATCAGCCTCTCAGTCTCATTCTTAAGAACCTCAGTTACCACGAAGGCAGTGGGACTGGGGGACTTGAAGTCCGACTCTCCCATGGACAGGGAGGCGCGACCCTTTGGTAAGTGAACACTTCAGGTCTCAGTTTCCACATCTATACAGTGAGGGTATTAATGGTTCTCACTTCACAGGATTGTTGCAAAGATACCCAGGGTAAGTCGTGAAAAACACGTCTGCACGTGCTGATATCCAGTAAGTATTAGCTATAATTGTCATTTGTCCCACTGCTGAGTCAGGCCATGACATGTAGGAGAGGCTTTTCTAGTTTGCCTCATGGTTGGTACCAAAAATCTTATCCTGGTGCCAGTAGAGAAATTTGATCATCCTTGTTTCTCAGCAGTCTATAATGTGCTGCACTATCAGATACACTATTCAACATTACTGTTCCTATACACTGGAAAGGAGATTTTGCAAAAAAAAAAAAAAAATTAAAATTTTCCTTTTACCAACCCCATGTAACCCTGTGACATTCCAAAGGGCACTGTGAACAAGACACATACATTTTCTCATTTAGTTCTTATGGGAGGCAGTTGTTGTTGCTTCTAGTCTAAACACTGGAATTCTTAAGTTTTAGAGGTGGAGTGTTAACATATGGATAAGCCTGAATTTGGACCCAGATGTGTTTGAGACCAAAGCCTCTACTGCCTTTAAATTTATAAATTAAAACATGAAAAGATATACATCTTTTTTCTGAGAGGAGAGAGGGTTTGATACCTAACTGCTTATGCACAGATACAATAATTCATCTCCAATGTTTTTATCATAGAAGAACTTATGGGATCATAGAATTATCAAGTTTCCATAAATAAAATATATAACAGATGAACCTTACAGAGTTCAGACAACTTCAAATATTACTGCATGGCTACTTAGTAATCATGTCTGTTCCAGATGCAATAGAAAAGAATACAATAGAAGAATATCCAAAAATTTGAATAAACACCTTATTTTTAAAAACCACCTAAATTTAGAAGAAAATTAGTGAAGGGTTCAGATGAACTTGTGGCAGATTTCAAGCCTGGAGCATGCACTCTGGGAGTTTTATTATTTTGATGCTTACTTAGTGCTCCAGAACATAGATGATCTCTTCACCTGCCCCAGGCTGAGTCCGGGCACTTTTTCCCCTCTTTTGAGAAAACACCCTGGGTTTCCATGAACAGCTGGCTGTTTTCTCTGCTCTCTTCTGCCTGCACAAATAGCCTGGTCCCCACTTGTAATTTGGGGCTATAAGAGAACACTGTAGTCAGTCGCCTTGCCCACCACACAAGCGTTTCCTATAAGGCATACCTTACTGTTCAGGATCTGGAAAACCCTCTGCTGGAGTGTCTGGCCAGCCTTGGGCCTCATGAGGATGTAAATGACTTTCAGGTCAGGGCTGGTGCGAAACAGCTTCTCCATCAGCACTTTGCCCATGAAGCCTGTGGCCCCCGTGATGAGAATGGACTTGCCACTATAGAAAGCTGCGATCGTGGACATGGTTCCTCCCTTTCTCTCTGACAGCTCTGGGAAGAGGTTCCTAAAAAGGAAGAGGAAATAACAAAAGATTACATTCTCAGAAGTTCTAAAAGGCAAAGTCACTGAAAATGTTTCTAGTGCTTCCAGGAGTTCTGAATGCAGAAAAAAGTAGGTCAGACAGAGTGAGAGTATCATGGCTTTTAGGCAACACGATTCACTTCAGTCGATATCTATCGAGCTTACTGTACATGCTAGACTTTATGCCAGGAACTGGGGGCAAGAAACGAGTAAGACCTGCTTCCTGCACTCAAGGAACTGCTTGCAGTCTAACGGAGGAGACAGACACACAAAGAGATTGTTAAAGAGAATGGTAGGTGCTAAAATAAAGGGAGCACACAGGAGGGGTGCATAGCAGGGTCTGGAAACTTCAGGAAAGCATCTGTAGGTGGTGACACCTAACCTGAAACTGGAAGGCAGAGAAGGGCTGGGGTCAGGGTGTTCCTGGCCAAGGAAAGAGCAAGAGCAAAGGTACAGTGGCATGGCACAGCGTGCTGTAGGGGGAAATAAAAGGAGCTCAGTGTTACAGAATTAAATGAGGAGGCTAAGAGCCCCACAGCCTGTGAAACCAAAGCTCAGAACAGCTGTCACATTTTTTAAAAATTATGATATAATTAGTATTTCAGTTCCAGGTTTACTTAGAGAAAATATCGGAGCAAATAACATGTTATTCTCGTCCTTGAGCTGAAAATGGGCTGAGTGCCAGCCTTTCCTTTATGTACTGCTTATGGGGCCGAGACATGGCAAAAGACAAAGGGCAAAGGACGTTGAACAAGGGAGGCCACAGCCTCTAGGCTTTGGTGTGCCCTGAAATGGCACCATAAGGCCCCTGTTTGCAGGAACTCGGGGAGAGTGTTAGCCATCTGGTAGGAGGCCAGACGCAGCACTTGGATTCTGGGACGCTCAACAAAAAGCACTGCATGCTGTAGAAATGCAACACGAAGGGTTTTGTCTTTCAGTTCAGGTTGAGGACTGTTGACTGGAGGCAGCAGCAGAGAGCTTAGAAATAAACAGTGCTAGAGGTGTGGAGGAAGATCTTCCTTTTTGGCCACTAACTCAGTCCACTGTAGAAAAGGCTCCCACTGCCTGTGCAGACCTGGTTTGGGCGGATCCTGCAGAACACAACTCCAGGGACTGCCCTGACATCAAGGCTTAGGAAGAAGAAAAAACAAATAAAGGAGTCAACACCCTGCTCTTCAACTCTGGTCCAGATGGCTCCGCTAGCAACTCCTTAAGAAACAATGCCATTTCATGATCATAATTTATGTTCTGAGGATCTTGAGGAGATGTTCTCTGGCAGAACTCTCTGCCGCTGGGGGATAATTTACTCAATAATCAAGCACCTCCCATGCCTGACGCCACGCTAAGTCCTAAAGGCACACTGATGAATAAGGCAGACTCTCTAGCACGGGAAGCCAGCAATACAAAGGCAAATAAATATAAAAACGAGTTAACTACACACTGTTACTCATGCTATGAAGTAGATAAAACAGGGATCAGTGACAGAAATCACCCCCCAGTCATCAATGCTATTCACTTTAGGAAATCTGCATTGCAACCCACATTAGCTATGTTCACTGAGTGACAAGTGAAGTCCCTTGTCACTGAGGATCGATGTGAGAACTATTATCGTGAAGAGTATTTTTGGATCTTGTGCAAACAGCAATTCATGATGTTTTTTTGTCATGTTACATAATGTTACTCCTATTACAATCCACCCTAGGACTTTGTCAACAATTTAGCACTTGGAAAAAGTGCTGAGTATTCTTGCCTTGCCTTCCTTGAAGCTCAAGAAAAGTGGTGTCTCCAACTTTGGAAGGCAGGATAGCATCCTAGATTCACATACGAGTTCTAAGCAAGACTATCTGAAGTCTACTACTTCCTAGCTGTATGACCTCAAGCACACTATTAACCTCTCTATACTTCAGTTTTCTCACCAGTAAAATGGGGCTAACAAAAGAATCCACTTAGAAGTGCGGTGGTAAAGATGAAATTAATTAATGCGTGTAAAACCCTTAGAAATATCAGTTGCTTATAGCATATACTTAAGTATTAGCTACTAGTATAGTCACTGGTTTTATATTTTTCCTCTTAATGATTTCTAGCTTTTCCTTCTGACATTATTTTAAATGTCCTATCTTATACATTTTATATGCCCTCTTTTAGAAATAAGAGGAGACAATTTATAACTCAACAAATCATAACAGCCAGGTAAAGTATTTTCACCAAATGTAACTATAATTGATGATGAATCTTGTCTTTTCCTTTATATATAAAAATGTTTAGGTTACCACACTCCTTTAATATGATATTGGGCATAAATGAACATGGCTGGCCAGAAACTAGAGAAGGAAAACTGAGTTTGGATAGGGTGACTTACCAACTTCATTTAGGCTGAAGATGTCACTTGCTTGTCTTGTGACATCATAGACCCTAGCAGAGTCATATTTTCTAGACATGCAAACACACTGCTAAGATATTTTGGTCCCAGACAGTTTGGCAACATATGACTTAAAATTTTTGAGAGAAGGTAAGATATATCTAATGAACCTATTTCTTACAGACAAAGGAAGGCTCAATTGTGCCCCCAAAGAATAGAATTTGCCTGTTCTGTCCAGAGTACCCAATACTTCCCAAACACAACAAAAACCACAGCAGAGTACGCCAAGTGCTTCAACAGGAAACAAAACAGAAACCAGTATCTTCTGGCCCTTGTTATCCAGTTATCACGAATAGGTGGCAGAGGAGCTATGGCCATGATTCTAATCAATTCAAGTGATGCTGAAAAAAATGTCAAAAAGAATTGCTCACCCTCGGATCAAAGCTGCATCAGACATATTTCTTCTACCTCTTGCTTCTATTGCTAAGATAAGTACTACCGGCCCCAGAAACTCCCATATAAAGTTTGAGTAATTTGTATTACTCAGATTTGTACAATTTTGTTCGGTCTAGGAATTTTTAACCCTTAATATATAATTCATTAAAATAATTAAATTAATCACGCTAAAAAAACTAAAATAATTTTGCATCAGTAATGGAGTACATGCAACTCTAGAAGTTCCTCCCTCTCCATTAGAACTGCTGACCGGGGCATGGCCTGCCTTTCATATCTTCTCAGACTACCAGTGCACAGAACAAAGGATAATTTCCTACCCCTCATGCTTACAAGATGGTTTGTGAGAAGCCCAAGTCATGCTGATAATCTCCAGATTATTAATCCTTCCAATGATCCTATATAATGCAGAATATCTGATGTTTGAATGAAAAAAGAAGGGACCTATGGGAATCAGTCTATATATTTTTATTGAATGCTTATTATGTGCCAGGAACTATCTGGCAATAAACAGGCCTTATATAGGTTGTATTCTTCATTTATATTCTCAAGTATTTTTTTCTCATAAAGATCACCAGTTTTCCATGGTCATAGTAGAAGTAGATGGTTTGTACTCTCCCTTTGGTAGTAAATTCTGTTCCCATTCCTAGAGAACAGATGTTAAAATACTGAATAATTATAGGGGTGTTGCTTTATACACTTGCTACAGATTTCAGCATATGGGAACTTTAATTATTGTTTAGGTGATTCTTCTGGAAAATCAAAAATTAGGATTCGAACACTTAAGGGAGACAATTTTTTTCCCCATTTTACCAAATGTCTTGGTAGTTCTTTGGAGAGAAACATTTTTAAAAACAAATAAAGTACTTTGCCTCTCAGGAATCTTATTCTTGACAGGGGATTTTTGACCTTGGCATTATTGACATTTTGGGTCAGATAAAGCCTTGTTGTGGGGGCTGTCCAGTGCAAGGTGGGATGTTTAGCAGCATCCCTGGCCTCTACCCACTAGATGGAAACAGCCACTCCCCTCATCCCCACCCACTAGCCAGGTATGACAATCCAAAATGTCTCCAGCCTGAGCATGAGCGAGACACGTCTATATAAAAAATAGAAAAATTAGCCAGGCATGGTGGCAAGTGCCTGAAGTCCCAGCTACTTGGGAAGCAAAGGCAGGAGAATCGCTTGAGCCCAGGAGTTTGAGGTTGCTGTGAGCTATGATGAGGCCACTGTACTCCAGGCCTAGGCAACAGAGTGAGACCCTGTCTCAAAACAAACAAACAAACAAACAAAAACCTCTCCAGACTCTGCTAAATGTTCCCCCGGAAGAAAAACTGCCTCTCCCTTCAGAGTACCATTGTTCTAGAGCTTCCTTTTAATCTTCATCTTATAATATCAGCACATCCTATTAAAAAGTCAAAATTTAAGACTTAAAATTCTGCTTAAAAAGATAAATACAAATATGATCCACTGCCAATCCCTATTTTATCTCTATTAAATCGTTGATAACTAATTACATTTACCCAAGCAGATCTTGTGTGGCACATCTTGGTAAGAATTATCTTTAAGTATACATTATTAAATTATCTTTTAGAAATCATGAAAAGATATTAAAGACATGACGCAAAACTATTTACCTTTAATCCCACCACATTATTATATAATTACTCTCATTTATTTCATTTTCATTAGTGTAGATGAAGGAAGATTTTTCTAGAGAAAGATTTCCTACTTTTTATTTCCACCAAATTTCTTTCAGTCTCTGTGCTATTGATTAGCCTATACCCCCAGCTTTTACATAGCTTAAGCCTTTTAATTTCATTCAACCAAACGTATAATGGGCAAACTCAAGAACTAATGGCGATTGAGCTAGCATGCAATCAGAGTACAAAAAAGACAGTTAGCATTGGTTGCTGTCTATGAATGATTCTAAGGATAATCAAGTCAATCTCATATATGGGGAGTTCTGTTGTTTTTTTTGGAGATTCAAAAAAATGCTGTGTGTGGAGACATATTTCATGTAGACCAATAGAATATTGATTGGCAATGGGCACAATAATATGGGCTGGTCTATTGAAAATAATGAATGCTATCTTGTAAAACTCAGTAAATGAAAGTTGTTCTGCTCTATCAAAATTAAACATTGAAATTATTTCAGTGTTTGTCAAATGAAGGAAAAGTATTTACAAAACAATATTCAATGAACAAAAAGGATAACACAAACTACTATAAACAATGTCCATTTCAAATCCCTGTGATTCTATCAGTGGAAGAGATTAGAGGAAAATGAAATAAATGAGAGTAATTATATAATCGTGTGGTAGGATTAAAGAAAGATGAAGAGTTTTGCTTCATCTCTGTAATATTGTTTCATAATTTCTAAAAGGTAATTTAACAATATATACTTAAAAAAATAAAATTCTTAGAAAGTAGCGATAGCCAGTATTTCATAGTCTCTTCTTTTTTTGTAGGCACTAGAAGTATAAAGAAATCTGCAAAACAAACTTCCTTAGTTTATGATGCATTTAAATTATTTTTAAAAGTGTGGAGCCCAAATGACATTACACACTGTTATGGACTTAATTGTGTTCAAAATGCATATGTTGAAGCTCTCACTCACAATGTGACAGTATTTGGAGACAGGGACTTTGGGAAGTAGTTAAGGTTAAATGAGGTCATAAGGGTGGAGCCCTAATCCTATAGGATTTATGTCTTCACAAGAAGAGGAAAAGACACCAGAGAGCTCGCTATCTATGCAGGCACAGAGAAAAGGTCATGTGAGGACAAAGGGTGAAAACAACACTCTGCAAGCCAGGAAGACAGGCCTCACCTGAAACTGATCTTACCACCACCTTGATCTTGAACTTCTAGCCTCCAGAACCATGAGAATATAAATGTCTGCTGTCTAAGCAACCCAGTCTGTGATATTTTGTTATGGTAGCCCAAGAAAACTATTACATACACAAATGCACGTGATAAGAGACATGTGCATTTTCTAGATTAGTGGAGTAAAATAACTCTTGACAATAATTCATATCAACCTTTTAAATCTGGAGTAAACCTTTTTAATGTAGCAAATGTATGTCTCATTTTCCCATTTTTGTAGCATTAAAGTACAATATTGGTTCTTGGTTTTTACAAATTTGTGAGGATGTGGACAGGTCTCTTAGGACGAGCTATAGGGACCTCATTAATCCAAGACTTAAGCATTTGCATACCAGTCACATATCTGTTTGTCAAGCACCTAGTGAAAAAAAAACCTCATCAGAGATTTCTTTCTTTTTATTGCTTTAGTTTCCTGTGTGTATCCCACATCACACAATTCAGCAATGAATTGTGGGCTTGTTATATACAATTTTTCTGAGAGAACTTTGAAGTTCTTGGTGGAAGAATATTTACCCCAGGGGTACTGTGGGCGCTGCTGGGAATAGGCCTCGCTAATTGGATTAGCGGTCCTTCAAGTCAAGAAAAACCAATTTGGAAACAGTCCCAGCTGGGAGAGGTAGACCAAGCTGGACTTAAGAACACCAAATTTAAGGGGTGCTGTGATGTGGGGAAAAGGAAATAATCATACTTTGGGGGGGGGGTAACTGGACACAGGCTCTGAATGACACTAATTCCAGGAGACCCTAAATGTCACTGTGGCCCTCCAGTCAGAGTAGGGGCTTTGGAAGTCAGGTGTTGATTTAGTTGAGCTCAGGTCTGTCTCACAGTGGGCCAGTGGGACCCCCAATCCATCCCGGGGTCATTCCCCCAGTTCTGGAATGCTAATTGGAATAGACATGCTCAGCAACTGGCAGAATCCTACATTACTTTCCTGACCTATGGAGCGAGGCTATTAAGGTGGAAAAGGCCAAGTAGAAGTCACTAGAACTGCCTCTCTCACTAGGAAACCAAATGCAATTACTGCATTCCTGGAGAGATTGCGGAGAATAGTGCTACCATCAAGGTGGTGGGGGTTCTCCAGAAGGCTGTGTATGCTCTGAATCAGTGTCTAGGTATATGGTGCTGTTTCTCCCGTAGCCAGGATTCATGGGTTCAAGATCAAGAGCTGGAAATGGGAGTGGCATCACGCACTATGACCCCTAGTGAGCCACTAGCAAAGCTTTTTCCTGCCCCCATGACATCATGCCCCACTGGCCTAGAGTCTTAGTTCCAGAGGGAGGAATGTTTCCACCAAGGGACACAACAGTGATTCCATTGACCTGGAAGTTAAGGCTGTCACTGTCAACTCTGAGCTCCTTACGGCTGAATCAACGGGCAGGGAAGGGACTTTTGTGCTGGCTTGGGTGGTTGATCCCGAACTGCAAGGGGAGCACATTGGACTGCTACTCCACCATGGACTAAAGAAGAGTATGTCTGGAATATAGGAGATCCCTCGGGTGTCTCTTAGTGTGACCATGCCCTGTGATTGAGGTCAATAGAAAACTGCAACACCCCAACCCAGGCAAAGTTACTGTGGCCCAGACCTTCAAAATGAAGGTTTGGTCACTTTGCCAGTTGAGAAACCACAGCCAGCTGAGGAGCTTGCTGAAGGCAAAAGCAACGTGGAATGAGTAGTGAAAAACGTAGGTATACATACCAGCTATGACCATGTGACCAGTTACAGAAACAAGACTGTAATTGTCATGAGTATACCTTCTATTTTGTGATGGATGTGTGTATTTGTATAGCAATAGAATTTTTTTCTTCCCCTCTTA